GTTTCATTATCAAGGCAAAGCACAGTGCTGCACTGACCTAGCTCTGGCAAATACCGTACTCCCTTCACAGAACTGGTTGGATTAGTTGTACAAATGCAAAACAACAGGTTGATAGTTTTGCAAATTATCTGTTCTAGCCCGTATAGAAAGCACTGAAATATTTAGTTTCCAAAGAACACATTACAGTGTTCAGAGAGCAGTTGAACAGCATTTCTAGTCTGTGATTCAAGGCAGTTGGCGGCACAGCCTGCCTTAGGAGAGAAACAGTCTTCTGATGTATCACATACAACTAAATTTTGCCTTATAGATACTGTACAATGTGTCCAGTTAAATTCATTAAATAACTCTACAACAGTATGAATGAAGATGTAGAAATGCTTAAACAGAATTTAAGGACCCAGATAAGTCAGAGAGAAGCAGGGTAAATTGCAGACGCAGAAGAAAGTCTGTTTCAATGCCACGTGATAACTATAGCTCATAGATTGTGCATGCTAGTGTGTATGTATGTCTGAGTATGTGTATGTCTGAAGAGGCCTGTGCACTTAAAGAAAGGGGAGATTATCACCCCATCTCCCAGGAGTCATTTGCATAATTTCCACGGACCTTGGGACAGTGAGTGGGAGACTGATTGAGATGACCACTAGAGGAGAATCAAACAATTTAAAACAGATGGGTGTCTTACTGTTACAGGAAGTGCTTAGAAAGTGAGGTAGTATGAATGTAGAATGGCTGGGTTGGTGGCCTAAGAAATTTAGAGTCAAGAGGAAGGACAAAGGATGAAGATACATTCACTATCAAGCTGGTCACTAGGACAGGGAGTAACATCGTTCTACAGAGTGAGATGGGTAAGACTTCTGAGAACTGAAAGGTTCTCACAGTGGGGACAACTCTTTGTGCTGAGTTTACTTGTCTGGGAAAGGCAGGGTCAGAACTCAGAGTCCTAATTTAGGAGACTTGTGAGATGGTTTCAACAGGAGGAAGTGGTTGGGGAGGGGCCCTGAGCAAAAGGAGGATGACCATCTGCCAGGTGCACTCCTGGAGATGTTCGTCTTCCCTGGCAGTGTGACTAGAAAGAGTGAATCTAAAGCACAGTTCATAGTGTCCCTTCTCCATCTGGAACATAATAATAAAAAATAAACTTCTTTCTTCCTTCCTATGAGCTAAGGTAGAGGGTCTAGTCAAGAATGGACTATGTGGTTGAGGGGTAAGTCAGTGTTGTTCTCCCCTTCGGTGGTTGGAATTAGCTTAAAAGTTGGGTGCCTAGGATGGTGGGTAACATAATTTCCCTAGATCTGTTGATTATGCACTTAGTAACTTTAAGAAATGAGGTAACATCTCCTCACTCCTCCACATCTACCCCTGGACAAAGAGCAGCCTTGCTTACTGCTTGCTATACAATAAGTGGGTTCTCCAAGCTCAGTGTTCCTCAGCTGTGAAGCAACCTACTGCATGTGCACACATCCTCTAGGCCCATCTGTGTTGCCCTGTGGCATCTGATGACAAGAGCAACCAACACAAATATAGTGACATTCATGCTGCTCATTGTGTCATGAGTAATAATAATTTCCTTCGTCTCTGACCCATGAGTCTTGAGTATTCTGTCAGCTTCCATAAAATAATAAGTGACTAATTTATTAGGTTGTAGGTAAGGTAAAATCAAACCCCAGATCCAACATATATCATTTTATCTGTACATATTTCAGTACACATTTCTAAGAGATAGAATTCTTAAAAAAAAAAAAATTAGGTAAGATGAATAAGTTCTAGAGATATGCTGTATAACTTTTTGCCTATAGTTAATAATATTGTATTGTGCACTTAAAAATTTAAGAGGAAAGAGTTAATGTTAAGGTTTTTACAATAAGAAAAATAACTTCAAAATCCTATTATAACATCTTAAAAAAAGACAATGATTTTTTAATAGCGTTGAATTGTGTTCAAAATTCCCCATTTTATTTTATTTTTTTTACAGTGTATTCATTCAATAGGCATCCAAGCATTTGTATTGGATTACTTGAATCTTTAAAAAAGATTATTGTAGTAAAAAAATATATATGTGATTTTTAAAATTTTAAAAATATAAAATTTGTGATTTTAACCATTTTTAAGTGTATGATTCAGTGGTGGCATTAGTTACATTCTCAATGTTGTACAACCATCATCACTACCTATTTCCAAAACTTTTACATCTGGGTGATTTAAGTCTTTAGTATCTTTTAATCTTACTAGTTTTCCTTTTCCCTTTCTCTGTTTTTCTTGCAATTTATTTGTTGAAGAAAATCACATAATTTCTACTATACAGTTACCCACAGTTTGGATTTTGCTATTTTTGTAACTTTTATAGGCTTCCATTGGGAGGCATATAATGTCTAGTTGTTTCTTTTTTGTGATGTCAACAACTATTTATGACCATTGTCTAGATCCTTTATTTTTTTAGAGGTGCAAAATTGTGACATTTGAATTCTATTATTGCTTTTTAACGTCTCTAATGCTTTCATAGAAGAAACAGTTGCAGAGATGATGTTGACTCGGTCTGTCTAAATAATGTTGCTTAAGCCAGAAGACCTTATTTAGCAAGCACAATTTTATTGTGATTGATTTTTAAACATAAAAGAGTTGTTTTGTTATTGTTGCTGCTGCTGTTGTTTAATTCTCACAAAGGGCACAGAATATGCTCAAGACTAAAATAACATTTGCGAAAAAGTTAAAAACTACTTCTATGTGACAACATGAGTAAATTTTCACCCTCCAAAATCATTTCTGTTACTGAAGTGGGTCTTTTGTTAAAAGGTATCCTAGAGTCATTAATCTGGAAAGAAAGCAATCAGTATGGACAAGCAATTTCTGTTTCCTTTTCTTCCAAAGAAGAGTGTTGAGAGCTGGGTAGAGCCTCTTTTACATGTGTTCTCTGCTTCTTTTTTTATGGATCTAAAATTAAGCATAGTGTTTTTTTTGGTTATAGTACATGTCAGGATGGCACATCAGAACATTTTCCTTAGAGCAACATTGAGTCACATCTGTTCAAGTGAATCGGTTACCAACTCAATTGACTCATTTAGCAGGGATGGGAAATTCAAAAGCCATCAGTCATGTGAGTTGAACCACATGATCCCGCTACCATTAAAAATATTAATTAAGGTTTTTTTTTTATTCCCCACCATAACATCTGTTATCTTACATTTGGTATCCTGTGAGACTTCTATGTGCTGGGAATTATAGCAGTTGAAAGGTCATGCCACAAAACTTATTAAAATTTTAAAATTTGGAGGGATATTCTCTCTCTCTCTCTCTCTCTCTCTCTCTCTCTACCCCCCACTCCTCTACCCTCCTGTCCCCAAAGAGGATAAACTAGCAAGTCACATTCATATTTGATAGTATAATATAATTCGATGTTGGAAAAAAATTCTGTTTTCATATTAAAAATAAAAGAAAGCAAAGCTCAACTAAATTAGTGCGGTTTGTGGGGAAATGACTTCAAATCCCACTCTCTGTGAAAGCCCACTTTCTTCCAAATCAAAAAGTAATATGGGTAGCATGCTGTATATATTTATCAATGCAATTTATTTGCTTGTTTTAGTAACCTATTGCTGTGAAATAAATTACTCCAAAACTTAGTTGTTGAAAACAACACATATTTATTATCTCACAGTTTCTGTGGGTCAGGAATCCAGGACCTGCTTAGCTGGGGGCCTCTGGCTCAGGGCTGCCATCAAGCAGCATGTAGGAGCTGTATAGTCATCTCGAGGCTTGACTCAGGGAGGAGCCACCTTCAGCATCCCTCAGAAGATCCATTTCCAAGTTCAATCACGTGGTCCTCTCTGCAGGGCTGCTTAGAAGCTGGTTTCTTCAAGAGTGAGGATTCCGAAGAGAGTGAGAGAGCACCCCAGACAGAAACCATAGAACTGACATCCCATCATGTCTTACAGTCTATTCATTAGAAAAGAGTCAATAAGTCAGGTCCACCAAAAGGGGAGGAGATTATATAAGCATGAATACTAGGAAGCAGAGATCATTGGGGGCCATCTTAGAGGCTACTTACTACAGTTTTTTCATTTCAAATGTAAATTTTAAAATAGAAAATGCATTCTCACAGTTAGAAATTAAAAATGTATAAGAGAGTGTAGAGTAAGTCTCCTTCACTCCCCTGTCATCCAGTCCCCTCCTTGAGCAAACTTGTATCTGTTTCCTGTGTATCCTTTCAGAGGGTTTCTGTTAGATGTGAAGTTGAAAAAGTTGGACTCCAAAGGGTGCAGGCAGAAAGCTGCCTCAATCTTCTCCCCTCCACCTTGCCAAGTCACACCTGCTTTGCAGAGATAATTCCACTGCACCCTTGGGTGAAATCTGAGGTGGGTGTTATGACTTTTCATGTCCTTCTCAGATAACGAAGAGTCCTCCAGTTATTTTTAGTCATAACATAATTTCACGTCAGAAAGAAAATGCTGAATAATAGTCAGACTACAAACTTTAAGGTTAACGTGTCTGCCCTTCCTTAGCTTGGGCCTCTGTCAGCCTGGAAGGCTGCAACAAAAAAGGTGGAGACTTTCTGGCCTCCAGCTTCTCTATTTCTCTGTTTTGTACTTCATTTTCTCTTCTGTCTCCTGTCTACTCCGCTGGGTTGCCTTTGTGTCTCTCTGTGTTGGGGGATGGTGAATGAGTGAAGAGAGAGAAGGATGCTCCAATATGCCATCCTGGCATGTACTAGTGCTCTTTTCTTCAGTATTTGCTCATGTGGCTTATTCAGAGATCTCGTTATGGAAACATCCAATGGTAGCTTTTTTGGTGTTTGCAAATTCTCTCCTTCATTAAACTTTTGCTTCCAAGGATATGCCTCCGGCTACTTTGTGCTGAGGTCTTGGGCAAGGTCTCCTCCAAGACAACTCCAGAAGGGCTGGCTTTCTCTCCCTCTCAGCCTCCATCTGGTCCTGGAAAACCCTCATGCACCCTTCAGAATGTGCTAGACTCTGGAAAACCGACTAAGACTTTTTTGCTCCTTGGGGGTTTTAATTTCTCATACTATCTCGCTCGATTCCTTTAGGAATTATTATATCCTGGGAACAGGGACTGTCCAATGTATCACCCCAGGAATTAAAACCCAGAAGAGAGGATGTATCTGTTGGTTGATCAAAGGCTTGTTTTGTTTGAGTAGGAAGTGAAAAACTTTTTTTGTAGAACATACTTTCCACATGCTGAGATACCTTTGAAGACAAAATAGTTATAGAAATTAAGTCTGTGAATTCTTTCAATAATCCAGTGTATTCTACTTAGCCACAGATGGCAGGGAGGCTGAGGTAATTTCAGGCATGGGCATATACATAGTTGTGGGGAACATGTTTTAGGACATGGTGGGCTTTTTCTTTCTCTTAGAATCATAGTGTTCACTGTTGTAAAACTGGATATCGAGATGGTAGAACTTTCCAGTTCCCATTCCTGGTTCTGCTATGTTTCATCTGCACACACGGTTATTCTCTCTCAGTTCACTCTACCTCTCCCTTTTCCAGTCGTCCCACAGGCACCCCACTCTACCTTCACCAATACACAGCTGGTCCTTCTCCTAGCTAAGGCTGGAGTTTTTTGTTTTTTGTTTTTTTACTTTTATTTTATTTTATTTTGTTTATTGGGGTAACATTGGTTAATACAATTATATAATTTTCAGTTATACATTATAATTTGACATCTATATATTCTAGGCTGGAGTTTTTTGGGCAATCTCAGCACACAGCTGGCCTTCAGTCATCTTTGTGTCGAGACATAAATGGGGCTGTTCTGGGATTTGGTACCCCAATACTGACCACTGGGTTCCTACACAAACCTGACCCTGAACAGCACCCAGGAGATTTATATGTTATTAAATTGTCACAGCTCCAACCCAGCTTCCTCCATTCTAATAATATCCAAGTTCTCAAATTCCAGTAACTTTCTTCTCCTACCCCTGTTCCTTCTAAGTCTCTGTTCCGGAGAAGGGGTTTCCTTCTTCGTAGCAGGGCTCTCTGTAATAGTGTTGCCCTTGATTCCCATTTTGGAGATTGAGGCTTTGTTATCTTATCCACAAAGATATCTTTTCTTATCTGGTGAACTCCTGCCTGCTCGCCTCCTAGGTCTTCCAGATGTTACTCAGAATCTCCCAATTCTGCCGCGTCTATTGGGCCCCTGAAAATTCCCAGTCCCTAGTATCCTACAACTGTTTTGCTGGGTTGAATATCTGGCATCAGCTGGACCTGCTCTCATCAGCTTCTATGGGAGCCCTGTCCTGTTGGGCTGGCAGATGGGGCATGGATCTAACAGCTCAGCTGAGTTTCATGGAGGCACTACACATATCAGATGGAAGCACAATAAATGACTACAGCCTCATGAACAGTAAGTGAGGAAAAGAGTAAGAATGATTTGGAGTTGGCCACATTGTAAGGTCAAAAGCCGGCGGGG